AATACTCATTAATAACTTTCCAAATGACATCATTGTATAAGTTGTTCTCCATCATCCTCTCAGAGCTGCAGGTAAAGGTGATTCCTGCCACAGAGGGACAGACAGTAACACTGATGTGCAGCAGCAGCTGTCCTCTGACTGAAAAGCCTGCAGCCTACATCTGGTACAAGAACAGAGAGTTTCTCTATGAGGACTGGTCTCCCTGGTACCAAGAGCTGCTCAGCAGTGAGGAAGCAGTCACATACTCCTGTGCTGTCAAAGGCTACGAGCATCTCAGAGCCCCTCAAGTCTCTGTGGGTGAGTCATGACTGTTATTGCTACAGACTCTCCAGCTAAACCCTGTGAAAATGACCTCAGTACAAATATTTAACATCTTGTCTTTTTGTTCAGATTCCATCACACAGACATGCTTCAGTCTCTCTTATGCTTATGGAAACATGTGTTCTTATAAACAGACATTAGTGGATGAGCCGTGCTCCATCACCTACCCCAGAGGTGAAGTTTATATCATATTTGTTGCAACAATACATGTATATGTCTTAAATAAGATGTATGATTATATCAAAAATAGTGACAAGCAGTGTGTTTATCCTTTTTCAACAGAGGTTCATGTTCAAAGAGCTTCTTCCATCTCAGAGTTTGTCACACTGACCTGTAACACCAGCTGTAACCTGACTGATGATCAAACTGTTTTCATGTGGTATCACAACAAACAAAATCATCATGAGAATCAACATTATTCAACTCAAAAATCTTCAACAGGCACATTCTCTTGTACAGTTAAAGGCTCACAAACATCTCCAATCTAAGGAAGTTTGTAAGTGTTAAATATTTTTTATATATAATAATGAACTCAAGCGCTGAAACACAGACCAATCAAACAAGGTTAAATTCCAATCTCAGGAAGTTTGTAAGTGTTAAAACAAACTATGTTTATTTTGCCATATATTAATGAACTCAAGCGCTGAAACACAGACCAATCAAACAACTTCTAAATCTTCCATCTATATTTCAGGTGTTCAGGATAAAAACTGCTGGAGAGTGAATTATGTCAGCAGGAGAATCTGTGCTCTGGAAGGATCTTCAGTCAACATCACAAGTGAATACTCACATCCTGATAACATGAAGCCAGAGTTTAAATGTTGGAGTAAAAAATGGAGAAAAGATAAAGTGGAAGTTGAAGAGCTGATTGAGGCTGCAGGTCGTGTGGAGTATCAGGACAACATGAAGAACCAACACATCCTGACCATCAACAACCTGAAGAAGAATGACTCAGGAGGATACACATTCAGATTCAAGAGAGATCATAAAAGATGGACACAGTCTGATCTGCCTGGAGTCTTTTTGATTGTCACAGGTAAATCTAAACTCCTCACTCAGCAGACTTTACTCATTAATGTCTGAACAGGAGCAGAGGTGGAAGAAATATTCAGAGCCTTCTTTGTTCTTTAACAATGTTAAAATATTCCCTTACAATGAAAAAGTTTGCTTTTAATTAAAATCATGTGCATTTTATGAAACATAACTTTAGTTAAAGTATCAAAAGTAAAAGTTGGCTTCTATTGTAGATAATCATAATAGTTTTAATATTATATACAGTCGGGTCTGAAGGAAACGGCTTCCAGGGCCTAATCCGTGGATCGACTTCCTTCGAGGCGTGGACGTCTATCAGCAGAGAATGTACCTTCACCTACAGCAGAGATTGTCCCTTAGTCTGTAACACAGTCAAATATATTCTCAAGTAACATTCAAGCATGCCATTCAGCGTGTTAGTACGAGCTCGGGAGCAGCTTGGGAGAACAAGAAAACAGAGACTGCTTCAGATTGTCTTCCCAAAGTGACTCAACTTTATTCACAAGTACAACAGTTTATATAGAGGGTAAAATTCATGAGACAGCAGATTATCAGTTTAAACCAGTACAGACCAAGATAAGGGAGCGTCTTCCTGCCCTTGGGTGAAGAAGCATCCTTTGTGTAGTGTATCAGTTCAGCTACAATTGTGATTATCTCAGCGACATATTTTCAAGGCACGAAATAAAGAGTTCTTTCATTAGTGAATTCTGAAACAAACCATTTGGCCTTCAACAGGCGTCTCCTAAGAGATTTAGAAACTAATGTAGCTGAGGGAGTGATCTCTGTGGTATTTCAACCTTGTACCAGCCTGTGATTCTCACACATCAATTCTTGGGTCAAAGAGAAAAATAACTAAAACAAAGGGGCCTTATTGAATGACAGAGTTTTCCTGTATAATGTCACTATAAAACAATATCCAGTAAATGCTCCCATGGTACTAAAATACCTAACAGGGTCCAAAGGTGTTCAGACAAACTACCCTTCACCACAGTTTCGACAGGTGGCATACCTGCTGCTTCAGAACTATTTCTATTTATTGAATTACTGTTTTGATACTACAGCTTCTGTTTATAAAAGAAAATAATACTCATCAATATTTTCTTGATTGCTGTTAAATATAAAAACAAACACTTCTTGAAACACCTCTGCTTTCAAGAAGAAAATAAAACAGTTTTCAGCTCTGACTCACAGCAGTATAAAGTTAAGGAAAGTTCAGAGGTCATCCTCAGCAGAGGATGGTTTAAAGATGTGCATGAATTGGAGTGTTACAATTCACCAACAAAATTTTGATAAATGTTAACTTTTTTTAAAGAAGGAAAAGACATTTAGTATTTTCTTTTAAGTAGTTTTTAATTATTAAAAATAAAAGCTAAAGCTACGCCCCCTTCTACCGTTGATTGACAGTGTGTAAACCTTACCTGACACAAACTCTTATGCATCCATCCAGCCACCTCCTCCAGCTTGTCCAGGGGAACACCAAGGTGTTCCCAGACCAGCTAAGAGATGCAATCTCTTCAGCGTGTCCTGGGTCCGCCCCAGGGCCTCCTCCCGATGGGACAACTGGCTCCTTTCGATGTGAAGCAGCAGTGGCTGTACTCTGAGACCCTCCCGGATGACTGAACTTCTCACCCTATCTCTAAGGGAGAGGCCAGCCACCCTTCAGAGGAAGCTCATTTCTGCCGCTTGTAACCGGGATCTCAATCGTTTGGTCACTACTCACAGCTGCTGACCATAGGTGAGGGTAGGGACGTAGTTTTAATAGTAAATTGAGAGCTTCGCTAAGCTCTCTCAGCTCTCTCTTTACCACAACAGACTGGTGCAGGGTCTGCATCACTGCAGCCACAGCACCAATCTGTCTGTTGATCTCCTGCTCTCTTCTCCCGTCACTTGTTAACAATACCCTCAGAGCCAGGTGGCAGCTAGGAGCCTCATACAAAATTAAAAATGTGATAACACATCCAGAGTCTGAGTCCTGTGAGTAAAAAACAAAGATGACTGAGACAAAAACAGCTGAAAACTTGTGATTATTAGATTAAATACAGCAACTTTTTCTCTATATGTTTTACTTTACTTTACTTTTTTGCAATGTTTGTGTGGGGATTTCTCCAAAACATGTGTTATTCACCATCATTGACAGTCTGGTTTAATAAGTATTTTTGTTTAGAATTGTGCTTGTCTGCATCATTGTTTCACAAAACAGCATTATCAATTTGTGGCGATAGTCAATTTGGCCAGCAGATGTCACTGTGGAGATGGGTCTCAGATTGAAATAAAATTAGAAGCAGAGCACAGCTTGAGTAAACTAACTGAAACACAGACACTGACTAGCCGACAGGAAATACACAACTGGGCAAAACAATGCACAGGTCAAATAAGTCAGCCCAATGACAATGGAAGCAAAACTGAACACTACACACAGGACAAAAAACTATCAAAATAAATCAGGAGACTAACACTGACTGAAACACAAACTAGACAGGGCAAATTAAACACAAAGTTAAAACTGACTAAACATGGGAAACATAGGAAACAGAAAAGAAACACAGACGAGGCAAAGAGAACATAGGAGGGCAGGAAAAACTTGAGAATATCTAACAAAGAAATCTTGAATACAACACAAGATTTACGACTGAACATAAGCAAATGTAATGTTTAAACTAAAACTAGAACGAAGTCAGACAGAAAATATATATTTTTTTTAAAAGGCAACTGAGTCCAACACAGAAAACACTGAGTATAAAACCAAGGATCATGACATAAAGACCCAAAGCACAATGCAAGTTTCAGTTACTGAAGACAAAAGTCAAGGCGGAGACCCACAAAAAAAGAAGCAACTGGACAGGCAGGAGGAAACGGTAGGATAAACCTTTAAGTAAATATTAACTCAGGCTGTCATACACTGTACATGGAGTGGAGTTTAAAAAAGCAACTATTCCCTCGTAAATGTCATAAAAGTACAGAACTTAAGTCAATGTTAGATTTTATCAGTGCATGGGGGGTTATAGAGTCTGCTTTTTGGCTTAACTCACTCAGATTCAGTCTCTAGCACATGTTGCAATTGTGTAATGTTTCATCTTAACATATAACATCTGTCATTATTAATGTTCCTCTTTCAGAGCTGGGAGTGAAGATGAGTCCTTCTGCAGTGGTGACAGAGGGTCAGAGAGTCACACTGACCTGCAGTACCAGCTGTCCTCTGACTGACAACACAAACTACATTTGGTACTTGAACAGTCGACCTCTGACCCCGAGAGAGAACCAGAACAAACATCTGATCCTAGACCCAGTCAGCAGGGAGGATGCAGGAAGCTACTCCTGTGCTGTGAAAAGCAACAAAGATATCAGCTCTGCTCCAAAGACTCTCACTGTCCAAAGTATCACAGGAAGGACACGAGGAGTTTCTGTAATAGTTCTGGTTTCAATACTTCTCTTTTTCTTCTTTTTGATTAGGTAAGCAACAGTGTGTTTGATTCAAAGTGACAACATTTTATCTCTGGCATGAACTCACTTATTTTTTCTGTTTATTACTTTCAATAATCAGAAAAAAGAGGACTACGAGTCAGTCTTCCACAAACGAAACATCAAACAACATAGTGGAGGTAAAGATTACTGTGGAGTTGGAAAACACATTTTCATACTGAATGATCTGTCTTACAGAGTCAAAGGAGTCAAATCTTTAAGTGAATTATGATGTATCGCTTTTTGTTCTTAGCTAAATCCTGATCCTGCGTGTGAAGACGTCTTAGCTCAGCCACAGGCGGAGGATGAAGTCCTCTACAGCAAAGTTCACTTCTTCAAAAACCACACAGATCCTCTTTTTTCCACCATAGAGCCACTTCAGCCAAGAGAAGAGCAGCATGCTGATTACGCTGCTGTGAAGTTTAGACATGAAACGAGCTCTGATGGAGAATCTGTTGTCATTTCAACAGAAACAGATGACACTTAAAGACCTGCAGACGTACACTGCGGCGAACAAGCCTTTTAACAAACCTCTGCACCTCTCATTTAAATTTTTGTGTGTTGTACTTGAATCTATATTTCACATTTATACTTTTTTTTTCTGTATTCAACATAACTAGATTAGCCAGTTTGATTGGCTTTGTATGTTACTCGTGTTAATGTAATAATTCATGGTCATGTAAAAAAAAAAAAAATCATAGTAAAAGTTAATCTGCCTTTTGTCTCCCTCTTCTGACATTGAGAGCAATTACACACAATGAGAGGGTGTAAAAACAATATAGCTCCAAGAAAGAAGGGATACAACAGCTGTAATGTTTGCTGTGGGGATGCCCCTCGTGTGTATAGATGTGCTGTTATAGCAGAGGACACTGACATGTTTGCGAATCTCCCTGCATTATAGCCCGTGATATTGTCACAATGCAAAATTGCAGAATTCATTCAGAGCTATATATTAAACACATTTGTATAGTTTTACATTTGTTGATTTTAGATAGTCTAGTTTTGATGTGAAGCATTTTTACGATTTTAGATGTTTGAGTTCGTTCCTAGACAATTTTATAATATTATTCCAGACGCCATACTCCATCCATCCATTTTAGTTTTGAGGAGGGGCTGGAGTCTATCCAAGCTGTTAGACAGCGTATTACCACCTAGCACTGCTTTTTGCCACTGGTACTGTACTGTACTGGCAAGTATGTACTCGCGTTCTCGGCGAGACCAGATAAGAACACTAAAATAATCCAAACATTAACATTTAGAAGTGATCTAAGTGACTTATATATCATGTTTAACCTCAGTAGCGAAATCTCTATTAATAAAAATAGTGTACATGTATGTCTTAATAAAAACAAGCAGGTGAGATGTTAGAACGCCTTTATTTTTTATTTTAGTACAATAGACAGCTGCTGGGGTTTGTTTAACCTGAGTAGCGAAAAGACCGCGGGGGGGTTGAAAACGATGTGCCGGGAGTCCGCTGTTCTCGCCGGCTCTAGTGATCCTCGACCTCGCTGTCTGCTATGGAGCTGGCGGGTCACAGACGTCTCCGAAAACGTCGGAGCACGTTTGGAAATATATGATATCTTGATAAATCGAGCAGATATTTGAAGTTTACACAGCTACATTCTCGCTTGAAAATAACTTAAAAGTTTATTTTGTGACCCAGAAAGAGTAATATTTAAAAGTTTTTAGCCCGCTCGTCCGCCATTGCCGCGTTTGAGTTTTGGACGAAATGCATTCTGGGATATTTAGCTGTACCAAGTCCACACAAGTCACCACCGATGCATGCTCGATAAAACAGGCGGAGCGAGAACACATCCGGGACTTTTTCGCGTTCTCGGCTTGATGCGTACTTTGAATTGGAACAGTACTTGGTCTCCGACTGATGACGTATCACGAGTACACGAGAACGCAAGTACGCACAAGTACGCATATTGAGAACAGGACTCAGTAGCTGCCGGAGCCTAGAAGAGAGCAAAATAAAAACCGATTTTGCTAAAAAAATAAAATAAAAAAAACCTGCAGAACTCCTCAGATCCTTGTGTTTTGAAGCCGATAAATTCAAAAATTCAGATCCAATTAAATTCAAATCACTCATAATGATTCTCTGGAACACTGGAACACATAGAAAGCAAGCAAACAAAAAAGTGAGGCAACCGCGCGGAGCAGAGCCTTAAAGCACGAACAGAAAATACAGACAAAGACTGACAGGAACAAAGCAGCAGAGGCAGAAGAGAGAGAGAGACCCAATGCAGATTGGATGTACCTTATATAGGGACAGTGATCCTCCCCTCCCGTCACTGGATATCCTTTTGTAAGGAAGAGGACTCCCTTACTACATTCATTTATATTATATTATCTGTATAGCACTTTAGAGCACACCTTTCACTTTATTTAAAGCACCTGCTTAAAGTGCAATGCTAAATAAAGTGCTTTATAAAGCACTTTATTTAGCCTTTATTTTTTATTTTAGTACAATAGACAGCTGCTGGGGTTTGTTTAACCTGACTAGCGAAAATAAAAGCACCTTATCAAGCACTTTATTTAGCATTGCACTTTAAGCATGGATTTGCACACAAGAAGTTTAAATATTTATTGACTATTTATTGGGAATTTTAAAATCAGTTGGTAGCCTTATTTCAGATCCTGCACAGCTGCTCCTCATCAAGGAATGTGGTGGTTGTCTGTCAGGAGAGAAGAATGGTGATTGAGATTGTGATTAAGGTTTACCAGTAAGGAAAACTAATGCAAATGTGTGTGTGAAATCTAGGAATAAAAGTGGTGCAAATAAGTGTTTGTAAGATAATGATTACTCATCACGTGGGTGACTGTGGCTCAGGGGGTTGGGAAGCACATCTGTAACCGGAAGGTCGCCGGTTCGATCCCCGGCTCTCTGTCCTGGTCGTTGTGTCCTTGGGCAAGACACTTTACCCTACCGCCTACTGGTGTTGGCCAGAGGGGCCGATGGCGCGATATGGCAGCCTCGCTTCTGTCAGTCTGCCCCAGGGCAGCTGTGGCTACAACCGTAGCTGCCTCCACCAGTGTGTGAATGTGAGAGTGAATGAATAGTGGCATTGTAAAGTGCTTTGGGTGCCTTGAAAAGCGCTATATAAATCCAATCCATTATTATTCACCTTTCTTGCCTGTGTCCTCTTCAAGGTGTTTGGGCAAATGTTTCCCCGGGGGTCCAGACACCATTTAAAGGTTCCGGGAGAGACCATTGGTAAAGAGAGTGTGGTGAATCTTTTTGTGCTTGGGTTTCTGGGTTTTTATAATATTGGGTTTGGTGTAACATTAAAGTGTGAAATATTTATTAATATGTAAATGTGAAATGTATTTATGTATTTATTTATTCTAATTGATATATTGTATACTGTGGTGGAAGGTTGGGATTTAAGAATTTACCTGAGAGTGGAATAATGGTTAAGTCTGTGACAGGGGTGGAATTCAAGGCCTGAGGGCCGGTGTCCAGGTTTTAGATCTCACCTTGGGTCAACACACCTGAATCACATGATTAGTTCGTTACCAGGCCTCTGGAGAACTTCAGGACATGTTGAGGAGCTAATTTAGCCATTTAAATCAGCTGTGTTGGTTTGAGGACACATCTAAAACCTGCAGGGACACCGGCCCTCGTGGACTAACTCTACGTCCACACGTACACGGGTATTTTTGAAAACTGAGATTTTCCGTTTTCATTTTAAAAAATAATCCCGTCCACACGTAAACGCAGAAATGAAGGAAAACGCTGCTAGGAACATGCCAAAGCAACAGGTGGCGATATATTCCTAACCGTGTAGAAATGTTGGCCAATCAGAAGTCTAGAAGCCTCGGTGGGAAATAGTAAACAAAGCTGGGGCATAGAAGCAGAACCGAGTTGTATGTGTGGAGGGACAGTAACTGTGTGTATATGTAAGCATTTAAACACTGCAGAGAGTAGAATTAACAGTATTGTAGAAATTCATTTCACCGAAACAATAACGTGGCGCACAGTGTGACGTCAAAAAAAGTGCACACCTTTGACGCTGCGTTTTCTCAGTTTTTCTCGTCCACACGTAAATGCAAAAACTGAGTTTTCGAAAATATCCACCCTGGCAGGCGTTTTTAGAATCTACGTTTTCAGTGACCGAAAAACGCTGTTTACGTGTGGACGAAAGGTGCAAACGCATAGAAAAATCTGCATTTTCCAAAATACCCGGGTACGTGTGGACGTAGCCTGAGATTGCCCACCCCTGGGTTAGTCTGACAGCTGAACATATTTAAGGCTGCCAGTTGTCATTGGAGAGGGGGGATTTGTGCTGTGAAGAAGCTCGATGAGTTAAGGAGAGCTGTATAGCAAATAAATACTTTTTGTTCCACTACACTTGCCTTGGTCCATCTCACTGTGTTTCCAGCCGCTAAGGGCCGCACTGTTACACCTTTCATCCTTTGTTTTTTCTTTTCATCTTCCACTTATGATATACACGACCCTACACCATAACTTCTTGCAAACCAGTCTCTCATCCATCATTGTACTGGGTCACTTTGACAGTTCCATGGCCAAAGTGAGTCTGAAAGTCTGCAGAAAAGCAGTTAATCAGTTAATCCATTCAAGAATTTTGTTGGGCGCGCATGCCAGACATAAACTGCTATCCATGCTGAGTGAGGGTTTACTTGTTCGCTTCTGGTGTTTGAGGCAAGAACCAGAATTCCAGGTACATGCCCTGCAAAGGCCAGGTATATTTGCTTATAAGGATATTGAAAGGACTGTACACTTCGGCTTTACCGTCATTTAAAGAGCTGTATGCATTTGTGTCACGGCCCCAGAAAGGGCTGCAGGCCTTTGCTTTACAGCTATCCAAACAGCTACATGCTTCTGTTGTACAGCTGGTTAAAGGGCTACACAGCAGTCCAGTTAAGCACAGCTGCATGTTTCTGCTGCACAGTCAAAGGCAGCTGCATAACGAGAAGGGTCCTATGTGTTACACACTGAAGGACGACAGGGTTCATTCAGGTGCACATGAAGATTTATTGCGCTGAAACACAGCAAAACAATTCAGTGTTACTGGCGGCTTCCATTGTAATAACTGGCCTGCGTTACTTTTGTAGCATTACGTGTAATGGCCATGTATTAATCAGCCCTTAACACACAGAGAAAATGACCAGTAAACAATAGACAACATAACATGTACTGGCTGGTCTATTTCCTATAACTTTAACTGAAACCAGCTAACAGTTTCCTTTCACCTTACTGATGGAACAACACGGTTACAGAGATTAATGCAGGAGGCTAACATGACTTAGCTAGCGCACAAATGTTACTAGCATTACCCACAGATAACGTGAAACAACTCCCTTATTCGCTCACATTAAACACCATATAAACAAGAATTACACTCCAAACATGTTAAATAAGCATCAACTTTACATAAATGTATGTAGTTCTCGTATATTGCTCTCACCTGAAACACAGCAAAACAATTCAGTGTTACTGGCGGCTTCCATTGTAATAACTGGCCTGCGTTACTTTTGTGAAGGATTATTTTGCCAGTTACCCGTTTGGCTGAGCCGCCACTGCCACCTACTGGCGAAACTAAATATCGCCCTAACATCACATCAGGTGGGAGCAAATGAGCTTTTCGCTCTGTGTTATGATGCAAACTATTGTCACAACAAATAGCAAAAAAAGATGATGGGGGGTGGGCACGAACACATAAGGAACACATCTGAGACTTGTTCTTAATGCTCAAAATACTCAGGGTGCCACATATGCACATACTTTAGCAGTGCCAAGCTAAATTGGCACTTCCCTTTGTTGGACTAATCACAGTTGGCCATAATACTATCAAAAGTTTCTTACCGATCCTCATTGTTACATTTTTAAACAGTACTAATCAACGTGTGTTTATACAACAAGTGGCACAAATCATTCCTTAATACTATGGTAGATATATTTAACCTAAATATATGGGTCCTGTGATTTGAGTATGCAGGTTAACTGCTTAATACAGTGACTCCACTATATAAAGACTTCATTGTGAGTATGCATAGTATATATGAGTATATATGTGTAAGGAAGAGGACTCCCTTACTTAATTAGGGCCCGAGCACCGAGAGTGCGAAGGCCCTATTGTATCTGCTCCGTTTCTTATTATTATTATTATTCAGGCAAAACAAGGGCCTTTTTGAGGGCCTAAACATGCTCAAAAACTCATGAAATTTTGCACACATGCCAGGTCTGGTGAAAAATTTTGTATTTTAATGGTTTTACATATGAGCACTGGGAAATGGCTCTAGAGCGCCACCTATGCCTTGTTAAATGCAGCCCTACGACCACATCGTTTGAGCTACATGTATGAAATTTGGCACACATGTGTATCATGCCAAGACGAACAAAAAAGTCTGTGGGCCCATTGACGCAAACCCAACAGGAAGTCCGCAATTTAGAAGTGAAGGTGACATTTTGGCTCTAATTTTGCCATTTCCATGCCTCGAACTTTTTCGAACTCCTCCTTGGGATTTGGTCGTATAAGCTTCATCTTTGGTCAGTGTCAACTACACACCTGGGCCATGTTAAATTGCGGAGCTTTTGAGTTTTCACAATACGGTGAGGCCGTGGCGCCACGGCGAATTTCGATGACTCGCCATGAAAATCTTATTGCCTCTCATTCCCTCATACATTGTCCGATCTGGACCAAAGAGCACACATATGATAAGGCTCCACCCCTGAACATATTTCAACTGCCATATTTGACATCAAGGACAGCGCCACCTAGTGGGAACAGGAAATGTCATGTTTTACACTTTGGGGTACAGTATAGTGATGGGTGACATCTGCAGCCTCAAATTTCTCCAGGAAAGCCTTAAGGAGTTGGTCTTGGGTTACAGTGAAAACTGTGACTTTTCGCGAAAGGGTGTGACCCCAGCAGCATGGCGAACTTTGATGTCACGCCATGAAGAAACAAATTAGTATAACTCAATGAAATCCAGTCTGATCAGTACCAGACTTTACAGGCATGATGTCAGACCCGCCCTGAACAGATTGATGTGCCCATTGTCGGAAATACGGACAGCGCCACCTAGTGGCAACAGGAAATGTCATGGCTTTAATTTTGTTGTACTGATTTTCACAGGTTCATCGTGGCCACCTCAAAAGCGGTGAATATCACCATCAGTCCCTCGTGATGCTTCAGTGCAAAAATTGTGACTTTAAACTGAACGGCGCACCCTGGTGGCAACGCGGTTCACCATGAAAGATGAAGTGGCTTTTGAGGGGCTTGGAAAGTTTATAGAGGCTTGAAATTTGGCCCACACCTCCAATGGGACGAAGGCTTTGTTGTTATGTGATCACCTTCCTTGAATAGCGCAAAATGGCTCCACAGCGCCCCCTACAAACTTTCAAATCATCAGCCCCTGCTCTGTGTTTTATGTATGAGTCTGAAATCTGGGAAGGTTATAGGAGAGATCAAGATGTACAAAAAAGTCTCTTGGAGCAATATCCCAAATCCAACAGGAAGTCAGCCATTTTAAAATTAATGTGTAATTTTGGCGACATTTTCCCCTCTTTTCAGGCACCGTTCTTTGACGAACTCCTCCAAGGGATTTCATCAGATTGATGCGATTTCCTGTGTGTGGAATCTAAAGACCTTTGTGATGTTAAATTGCGAAGCTTTTTACGTTCAGGGAAACGGGGTGGTCATGGCGGCATGTGGAGTTTCAATCACTCGCCAAAAAGCAGTAATCTGCTGTCACTCGAAAACACAATGTCCAATCTCTCCCAAAGGTCGTAGGCATGATTAGACTCGAGCTCGGATATGTTTGTTATGCCATTTGTACATAATGGTTAGAGCGCCACCTAGTGGGACGACTATAATCCTGGTTGAATAAGATGAAATGTTAGCTGGTGGTTAAATGCATGAAATCCATCAATGTCACATCAGATCGGACATGCTGGTATTAGGTTTTGGGCGTGGCTTGACACGCCAGGGTGCGAGGGCCCTCATAACGCTGCTTGCAGCTTTAATTATATTATATTATCTGTATAGCACTTTAGAGCATACCTTTCACTTTATTAAAAGCACCTTATCAAGCACTTTATTTAGCACTGCACTTTAAGCATGGATTTGCACACAAGAAGTTTAAATATTTATTGACTATTTATTGGGAATTTTAAAATCAGTTGGTAGCCTTGTTTCAGATCCTGCACAGCTGCTCCTCATCAAGGAATGTGGTGGTTGTCTGTCAGGAGAAAAGAATGGTGATTGAGATTTTGATTAAGGTTTACCAGTAAGGAAAACTAATGCAAATGTGTGTGTGATTACACACAATTTATGAAAGTAACTATGATAACATGTCTAGTGTATACAGGAATATATATGTCATAATAAAATCATCAAACCTCAACATGTAAAAACACTTTGAGTCATATGTTCAAATACCTTTGGTTCATTTAATAAGAAGGTGTCACATGTTAGGGAGCTGAAACTCCTAAACCCTTTATCCAATTTGAATGTGGATACCTGCACATGACAGCTGAGACCATACACATTTTGTCCATGTTCATTATGTGTTTATGTGTGTATGTAAACTGTATTGAAATTTTGGATTTACAAAGTATGACAATTGCAAATACAGATGTCAGTATGACAGTACACAGCCAACTAACCTGTAACAATGTAGCCAAAACAGAACATGTGATCACAATCACTTTCTAGAAAACAAAACTGGTCTTTTTGCATGCTAACTTAAAGATAATATAAAGAAACAGTGCAGAATATTATGGGAAACATAACCTGCACTAACCAAATGTCCATGATCTCAGCAGCACAAACTGCTGCTGAGATCATGTGCTGTGATAATAGCAACCTACGCTGGGCAGACCACAAACTGCTGAAGAGTAGAACAAGCTAGATGGATCCTTAATAATGCTGATGTTTTCAAAATGGCCACCATTTTTATTATTGTTATTATTATGATTATGATCATTTATAATATCATCATCATTATTATTATTATTATTTTAACATGCCTTGTAATAATGTTTGTATAAACATTTTGACATGAGTTAGGACTGAATGTTTCATTATATCACATCACTCCATTAGGTGGGAGCCTGACATACACACAGCACATAAATATATAAATATATATATAGGGGAATAATATTAACACTTTATTGAGAACTGAAAGTTACCTGAACATCTGAAATATTCAAGGGTAAGACAACTAAACCACATTGCACTTCCTGCAGAGAACAAAAGAACCACAGAGGAAGGACGTTCATGTCTAGTTTCAAAGGTGCTATGTGTGCCAAACCACTGAACATAAAACAGTCAGGCGAGCCCTTCTGTTTTTCAAGCAATTTTGAAATGTGAGTAAATCGCGTCTACTTTTATATTTATTGTCAACGTTATGCTTCCACGCTGGTCTCCAACCAACATGTTGCTGACAGGTTTTCGATATGTGTTCCTCTGTTTCATCTTCTACATTTCAGGTATGAGTAATTATTTATACATCCTTGTAAAAAGATACCTAAAAATAATTTACTTATTTACATTCTAAGGATAGAAAAAAACGACAGGTGATAAGACAATAAATCCGTTTGCTAATAAAAGTTTGTGTTAAAGGTGTTAATGGAGGAGAAACCAGGATCTGTGCTTTCAAAGGTTCATCAGTGGATCTGCACTGCTCACATCAACATCTGACTTCAAACAGAAAATGGTTCACTATAGACTGGGATGGTTACAAGTATGTTCAGAGTGAGCTCTCTGTGGATGGACAACGTGTAACATACAACATGTCTGAAGAGAAAAACCCAACTTTAACCATCAATGATCTAAGAGAGAGTGATGCAAACGCTTACTGCTGTATGAAGACTGCAGAGAATCCAGGACGCTGTTGGTTCAACAGAATTACTCTACAAGTAGTTACAGGTACAGTGACTTTTACTTATTACTTACTTTCCAAATGACATCATTGTATAAGTTGTTCTCCATCATCCTCTCAGAGCTGCAGGTAAAGGTGATTCCTGCCACAGAGGGACAGACAGTAACACTGATGTGCAGCAGCAGCTGTCCTCTGACTGAAAAGCCTGCAGCCTACATCTGGTACAAGAACAGAGAGTTTCTCTATGAGGACTGGTCTCCCTGGTACCAAGAGCTGCTCAGCAGTGAGGAAGCAGTCACATACTCCTGTGCTGTCAAAGGCTACGAGCATCTCAGAGCCCCTCAAGTCTCTGTGGGTGAGTCATGACTGTTATTGCTACAGACTCTCCAGCTAAACCCTGTGAAAATGACCTCAGTACAAATATTTAACATCTTGTCTTTTTGTTCAGATTCCATCACACAGACATGCTTCAGTCTCTCTTATGCTTATGGAAACATGTGTTCTTATAAACAGACATTAGTGGATGAGCCGTGCTCCATCACCTACCCCAGAGGTGAAGTTTATATCATATTTGTTGCAACAATACATGTATATGTCTTAAATAAGATGTATGATTATATCAAAAATAGTGACAAGCAGTGTGTTTATCCTTTTTCAACAGAGGTTCATGTTCAAAGAGCTTCTTCCATCTCAGAGTTTGTCACACTGACCTGTAACACCAGCTGTAATCTGACTGATGATCAAACTGTCTACATGTGGTATCACAACAAAAGAAACTATCATGAGAATCAACATTTTTCAACTCATAACTCTTCAACAGACACATTCTCTTGTGCAGTTAAAGATCACACACAAATCTTCAATCTAAGGAAAGTTTGTAAGTGTTAAATATATTTTGCCAACTAATAATGAAACACAGACCAATCAAACAACTTAAATCTTCCATCTATATTTCAGGTGTTCAGGATAAAAACTGCTGGAGAGTGAATTATGTCAGCAGGAGAATCTGTGCTCTGGAAGGATCTTCAGTCAACATCACAAGTGAATACTCACATCCTGATAACATGAAGCCAGAGTTTAAATGTTGGAGTAAAAAATGGAGAAAAGATAAAGTGGAAGTTGAAGAGCTGATTGAGGCTGCAGGTCGTGTGGAGTATCAGGACAACATGAAGAACCAACACATCCTGACCATCAACAACCTGAAGAAGAATGACTCAGGAGGATACACATTCAGATTCAAGAGAGATCATAAAAGATGGACACAGTCTGATCTGCCTGGAGTCTTTTTGATTGTCACAGGTAAATTTAAACTCCTCAGTCAGCAGACTTTACTCATTAATGTCTGAACAGGAGCAGAGGTGGAAGAAATATTCAGTTTGGGTGAAATTGGCAACGTCACACTACAAATCATCATTACAAGGAAAAGGCCTGTATTTAAAACTGAATTCATATGTTTCCAGAAAAATTGCATGTAATATTGTAGAAAATATTACTTATTATGCAGGAGAAATGCCTTTTGCTTTCTATAAGATGTATTCACATGCCTGTTGCAACTTTCACTTTGGGTGTTTATAGTTCAGGTTTGAACAACCTGGATACTGTTATTTTGTTTGATCTACAGCTGTCATGTACAGCTGTGCAGCAGCCAAGGCAGGACCCAAACACAGGACTCAGAAACAATATAGGGGAATAAACCAAAGGAAGCAAACTTTATTTGCTGAATACGTCTCGATCTAATACTGACTAACAGGATTGGGAAGGGGTCGGCAACCTGCGGCTCCGGAGCCGCATGCGGTTCTTTAGTCCTTTTAGTGCGGCTCTGCGTGGTTTTGGAAAATAAATTATTTTTTTAAGTAATTAGCTGAAGTGTATTTCATTAATGTTAGTTCTTTTTTTTAACTTGTAGTTCTAAATTGGAAAATTATTGTGATATTGAAATATAAATATAAAATTATATTCTATTATTTTTTGATTGCTCAAAATAAGCGTCACACTCGCGGGTGCCGCTCAGGTGTGACCGCCTCCCCTGCAGCGGCGCTGCAGACCACGCCCCGCCACACACATTAACCAGGTAAAATACATATTTAGGCTGAATTTTGCAAGTATCTATTTTTCATCTTTTAGCAGCATAGTGCTTTTTTCCAATTTTTTTTTTTAAAAGTCAGGTCAAGGCTCCAAAAGCCCAAAGGAGATATAAGGGTGGTGGCTGACAACAGTTTTTGTTTACTGGATCATTTTAGTTCAGCTGGGTGTCTTTCCTTTTGTTATATTTCCTTAAGAGTTCAAAATGTGTTAATTACATAAATAAAAAAGTAATTTTCTCTGTAGCACTTCATAGATTTAAGCAACACAGCTTAGTTGTTTACACAAAGCATACAGGTAAAATAACAATATATTCAGTGTTATCTTCATTTTAGACGTCAAAAAGTATTTGCAGCTCCCAGTGTTTTTGTTTGCGTGGAAATCATGTCCAAATGGCTCTTTGGGTGTTAAAGGTTCCTGACCCCTATGATGGGGGAAGCAAAACTGAACACAATGAACACAGGATGAGGGGCTGTCAAAATGAAACAGGAATTATGATAAACACAGGCTTGACATGGGGACCAGAGGGAAATAGACATGGGGACATGACTGACTGTGGAAACAGAAGGGAAACACTTGGAACAACACATTGTCTGGATAATTGAACATGCTTTTTTAATTTATTTATTTTTTTGTCAACATAAAGGTCTCATTTCAAAATATTTTCATATTTTAGTTTAATAGAAAAACATTTAAAGTCACATAAAAAAAACAGTAGTGGAATACAAATATAAGTTTGCACAGAAAAAAAATAACACTCACCCTAAATTTTTGCTTTTAGAGCTGAGAGTGAAGATGAGTCCTTCTGCAGTGGTGACAGAGGGTCAGAGAGTCACACTGACCTGCAGTACCAGCTGTCCTCTGACTGACAACACAAACTACATTTGGTACTTGAACAGTCGACCTCTGACCCCGAGAGAGAACCAGAACAAACATCTGATCCTAGACCCAGTCAGCAGGGAGGATGCAGGAAGCTACTCCTGTGCTGTGAAAAGCAACAAAGATATCAGCTCTGCTCCAAAGACTCTCACTGTCCAAAGTATCACAGGAACATGGACACCAGCAGCTGCAGGAGTTTCTGCTGCTCTTCTGGTTTTAATACCTTTCATTGTCTGCTGGTGTGTTAGGTGAGCAAAAGTGTGATCTCATTCAGATCAATAGTATTCATCTGATATTGTTTTAGTTGTGTATATGTATACACATGTGTGTGTGTATGTATATATATACATATATATATTTGCTCTTTTTTTACAAATCAGAAAAAAGAGGATTTCAAACCAGCCTTCAAGAAGTGCAACACTAGGCAACAAACAGCAGGTACAAAACAAGACACAAACAATGCTGCTGAAATTGAAAAAAAAAAATCCCCATTGTCAACCTTATTTTTGTTCACATAACTCTATTCTATTTTACTTTTTTATTTATAATCATTATCATAATTAGCAATAATTATCATTTAATCAGGTATTTTAAGTATATATACATTTATTGTGGGCATGAATGTCAAAGCAATTTGGGGTTTTTAATGATTGATTTCAACTGTTGTTTTTCAAGCGTGGTATTATTGCAGGAATAAAGTGTTTTAATTAAGTTTATAAAACACCTAAGTGCATTTATTTTAGATTTTAGATTTTACAAACAGCTTCAAATAGATACATATCTCCCAATAATATTTGTTCAAATGTCCTTTAGCGGGTTGCAGCTTAGCCAGACATTTTTAGTAAAGATAAACAACAGTCTGGCATATTTCTGGTTGTATATTTGACTACTTATCTTTATATAAGTGGAATTCATCTTCATTTGTTGGATTCCTGTTGTGTTCCTGGCTTTTAAGCATACTCCACAAATTTCCAATAGGGTTGAGGCTGGGGCTTTGAAAAGGCTATAAAGCTTAATGTAAGGCTGTAATGCTTTATTTATAGCTCAATTTTTGTCTCATTTGACGACAAAATTGTTCTCCAGAAAAAAAAAATGGCGTTTAGATATGGGAAGCTACAATTTTCGGTTAAGCTTAAAGGGGTTAATTTTGAGGCAGGAGCTCTTTCTTGTCAGTATCCTCTGAGTCCATTACAGTGTAAAACATGTTTTCACTGTGGACAGTGTTCCAGCAGTTTCCAGGTTATGGCTGGCTTGATTTTTGGTGGTTTCTGGGTTATTCCTGAACATCCTAACTAATTTCCTCTCATCTGAGGGTGACAGTTTAGGTCTTCCTCGAGGCCTAGGCAAAGTGGTCACACATGAAAAAAATATACTTACACTTATATACAGCTGTTTGAAATGATGGTCTTGCTATCTGCAGTTGTTTAGAATTGGCTTCTGACACTTTTGTTTGATTGGTTTTATTTTTTTTTTAATTTTTAAAAATGGATGCTCTACAACTAGTCAACCCTGGAAAAAACAGCAGTTGAAAGCAGTCATCAAGAGCCTAACTTTACTGTGAAGTTCATCCCTGTTATGAATATATATAAACACAGCTTAAATGTACACTTTATTTATCTGAATTCAATAATTTTAATTTCAGATTCATTTTATCAATGTATTTCTTTTTTCTTATTGCATTTTAATGAGCGACACAATCTACTTATCTATTTGTTTGTTCTACTTTACTTAATTATAATTGTTATAGCAAAGGAATTTCACAGATTTTATACTTTATATTTTGTCACCTCACAAACCTGCTGGTCAGAGTATCATTAACACCTGCAAATAAAGTAAAAATATTTAAATGAAGAGAAAAATGACCTATAACACAGTATGTTGTTTGTCTTCCTCCTCAGGTGAACCCTGATCCAATATATGAAAACATCCCAACTCATTATTGCAGAGACTGCAACTACCTATGACCCACACAACTGATCTCTACTGCAATATTGACCCACTGCCTGCTCACTAAAGTAACTTTGTTACCATAGTGATTTAAAGGGCCCTTTTCTCTGATAGCTTCCACAACACAGCAGTGACACCACATTTGGTGGATCTGCCAGTGGTTTTCATACTCTGGAACATAAATTACAACAGAAATTGTTCTTGAACTTTTCCGTTATAAAATGTATGCTATTGAAACATATGTCACAACTGAAAGATGACGATCACAACAATTTGTGTTTGAGAACAGCTGAGTGACATTTTCTCAACATTTTTTTTATGCACCATATCCCAAAACCACGTGAAGTCACTTTTACATCCCTCATAGCTTTCCAAAGAAATTGTAATGACATTTACGGCAATAAATGTGGTTACTGTTTGAATTTGTCCTTGTGGTTTCATATGTGTTCTGACTGAGAAACACTGTCCTCTGAATACTGACAGACACTCTTCACTAAAAATCTAATCTTTACAAAACTAGTCATTTTATGATTAGCAAATAAGAGAACCACGTGACAAAATGTACGAGACAAGGAAGTAAAAGTGTCCAGTCACAAACATAGAGCAAGACAGGGGGAGGCAACAAATGTAAATACAAGTTGGGGGAGATGACTAAAGCTACTCATACTGAAACCCGCATGCCCTACATTACAGAGAGCTCATTCCTAAAACAGAGATAAAGAGAAAGCAAAGAGTCTAAACAGCAACTTAAACTTTAAAAAGAGTCAAACAACAGGAACCATAAGAAATAAAGAAGGAAGTGATTTTGCTGCTGTTCAACTGTGTTTAGTTTGTAGTGGAAACTGCTGAAAACAACAGAGGAAGCAGAACTTTCTGCTGAAAAGAGTTGTAAAAGCTAAACCGCTTGCATTTGAAAGGGCACAGTGAAGATTATCGAGAAAGCTGAGCGCATGCAAGCGGGCGAACACGTGTGAGATTCGAACTTTCGCCCGCGGGTCTCAAGGCGGCTGCTTATCCCACTGAGCCAAACCAGTTCTGATGCCAACCAAAGATATAATGAGAAAAACAATTATCACTGATAAAAGGTGAAAAAGCTCAAAATTCTGCTGAAAAGAGCCGAAGAAACAGAAAATTGAGCTGAAAAGAGCAGAAGAGATTGAGATTTGTACTGAAAAGAAGTAAAAATTCTGCTGTAAAGAGGTGTAGCTGTGGCTACAATGTAGCTTGCCATCACCAGTGTGTGAAGGTCTGTGTGAATGGGTGGATGACTGGATGTGTAAAGCGCTTTGGGGTCCTTAGGGACTAGTAAAGCGCTATACACATATAAATACAGGCCATTTTAGCAGAAAGAGCAGAACAGTTGAAAATTTGAATGGTGAAAATCTGCTGAAAACTGAGGGAGTAGTTAACCAGCAAAGGTCGGAGCATCTAGAATAAGGTAGAAGAATAAAGCTTATCTGACTACAATCAGATAAAGTCTAAATGTTGGTACAAAGAATCAGAATTCCACTTTTAAAGTCAAGAGAAATGCTGTGGGGGAAGCTGAACAGCTGACTGAGTTTGCAGATCATGTGGAGTATGATGATAGCAGGTTTAATATAAATTTATAAAAACTGTCTTGTCTACTCAGATGACTTCTCATCTTATGTATGAAAACAACTCGGCTCAATCAGCAGAGCAGGATCATTTCTACAAAATTTGCAGCTTTATAGACTTAGTTTAGTTTAAATAATTAAAGTCAATGTGTCCTTTAGAGTAAAACATTTATAAGAATTGCATTAATATATATCCAGTGTGATGTTGAATACCTGCAGCAATACATCCTGAAGTGAAGTGAAGTAACCCTGAAGTGATAGGTCACAGGAGGCAGGGTACACCCTGGACAGCTCACCAGTCTATCACATAGAGACAAACAACAATTTTCACTTACATTCGTGGGTAATTTAGATTCACCAATTAACCTAACCTAACTCTTTTGACTTTTAACTGTGGGAGGAAACTAGAATACCTAGAGAGAAACCACTGCAAGCCAGATTGGGGATTTAAACCCAGGACCTTTTTACTGTGAGGCAACAGCACTAACCCCCATGCTACAAAGCCAGGCTTAACAAAAGTAGGAAAGCTATGATTTCAAGGCTTGATGCAGAATTTTTCGTACGTTTTTGTCCATGACAAGTTAAACCACAATAAATAGAATAAATAGCGATAGCATACACGTGGTGTGTGTGTAGTTGTCTGCCTCTTATAACTCCAGTGATTTTCCTGCAGTTTGAAATCTTTTGCAATCTTGTGAATTTCATGAGTC